TAGAACAGCTTGAAAGTTCTCCGAAAAAATGGTTAAAAATATTAATTTATTTCAATGTTATTTAACCATTTTATAACAAAACAGTTAAATAACTATAAATAAGATGGCATTCATAGTGCTCACTGTGCGAAAAACCGTTTGTTAAATGTTTTCAGCTAATATGGTTAAACAACTAGAATGTCCACCTAATGACTCTAGTTAGTTCCTTGCAGCTGCGTACATATCATAGCCGAGAAGATTAATTTATGAGTCTAATGACCAACAGAACAATGGTTCGATTCCCTGTGTTGACACCTCAATATTTCCTCAATTCCCCTCTGCGCATGAAGATTTTCTTGTATCCTGCACTCCCCAATGAGTGACTCTGGATTGTTTTAATATTATATTATCATTCACGCATAGATGGCAGCACCATAAAGCTGCTAAACTGTCTCGAATGTTAAGTTAAATTTCCCTTTTGGGGTTTTGAAACCATGTTAGTTGTAAACCGTTAAAAAACCATTTAGTTTTATATTCATATTTTTTTTTACCATATTATTGTAAACGTTCTCAAAACCGTAAAGGTAAAAAATGTTGTTTACGGAAAACATTAGCGCATTAAATATAAGCATTGACTAATAAATAATTGTAAACAAGGTTTTAAAATTTTTTAAATAAAAATAATCGTTATCTATCAGTTTATTGTGTTTGTTCAAAAGAGAAAAAATATGTATTATAAATTTAATATAATATTTAAAAATTTTAAAAAGATGAATTTTTTAAATACTAGAATATTGACTGATATTGAAAAAGACATGAATAAAAATAAATAAATGTGATTTTTATATTATCAATCAATGTAAAACAATAATTCAACATTTTACACCTGAAATAATCTTTTATTTTTCTTCCTAAGACTCAAATATATTATAGTCTCTCTTTTTACTGTTTTTAAACCATACTAGTTCTAAATGGTTAAAAAAAAAACGCATAGTTTTGTATTCATAGTCTTATAACTATATAAGTTGTAAACGATTTCAATGCCGATTTAGTAAAATATGTTATTTAGGGTAAACGTTATTGGATGGACAGACTGCTGGTTATTTTACCATAAATTTTGAATAAAAATTCTAACAGTGAAATTTGAGTGAAGATTGAGTCAAACAGTGAGTAAAAATCCTATCATTAAAAAAATGAACTTTTTGCACAAGTAATGTATTAAAATTTTATATCATATGTTCTACATTAAGTTTTACGTAAAAGAATTTGAGTCAAGTTTTTAATCTACACATGTTGTGTAGATTAAAAACTTGGTAACAACTCAAAAAAGTTACATGAATGTAAGCTGATAAAGGGTATACATTTTAATATAAAACTTACTTCTGTAAGTTAGTTTTATACTAAAAACTCGCAATTACTTATGATTATTTTAAGAACCTATAATAAGCTTAATATTAAAAATTTAAATTCCTTGAAAGTCTAGAAAAGCTTTATGTTGAAAATTCCGAAATAGTGCTATAAATAATATAGTTTTTAACAATACATCAAAAGATAATTTATCTGCTAAAAATTTTTGATAAGCACAATTGACTAGGTGTAAAATATTGTTTTAAGGTCAATGTTTCTTTGTAATTTTTGTTATGTATACGGTGTTACAATAAATGTTCATTACAAGCATTACCGAATCATGCACCGAATATAAACATGCACCAAATTCCTTAAACCAAAAGCATTTAAAACAATTTCTAGAAATTTTAAACCAGAGGGTCCTTAAAATCTAACAATATTTAATAAACTTTACTTATATCCATCAAATTTGTTAATTAATATTTAATAAATTTATTAAATACTTTAAAAAATTATTACTAAATGCTGTACTGAGCCAAAAACGGTATACTATTAGTTTAAAATTTGTTCATATTTTTGAAACTTACATTCATAAAGATTATTATTAGTTTACTAAACATATGAAAAGCAACAAGTATTTCATAACTGGTTGTAATATCTGAACAGTATCTATGATAGTAGTTTTAAAAACTTAACACAATTTAAAAAGTGTTTAGCACTGTTTCAAAATATTTATATTAATAGTACTTAAAAACTGTTTACAAGAAACATTTTAAGAGAAGATAACTTGTGGTAAAAATCAGTGAAAATTTTTGAGTTAAATAAATAATCCCGAGAAATTGAGAAATAAGATATGCTTGATAAAAACTTGTTACCAAAAATATAAAGATGGTAAAAAAAAGTATACATTAATCAAGAGCTCAAAAATAAGGGCACATTCTCATGACTTGTCAGACGTAAATGAGGGAAAGAAGTGATTTGAAATACATACTTTAAAAATGCCAATGGGAAAAGGAATATAAAGATGAAAAACAAGACTAGAAAAACTACGGTAAACAAGAGTGAAACAAATAAAAAAATGTAATATTTTTTGAAGCTAAGTGAAGTTTTTAATCAAGCTGTATGTTTATGTTAAACGGGATCAATAAGAATAACAGTAATAGACGCATCTAGAGATTTATAAAACATATTTGAAAGTTAGCTAATCTTTTCTTGAAATGCTGCAAATAGTATTTTATTTCTTAAATGTTCTTTCGCTTTTTTTATTCAATCATTAATATTGAAACTAATTTCGAAATACGAGTAACGAGCCGAATTTATTTAGCGAAAGAATACACCTTTATGTTTTATCTAATTAATATGCAGATAGAAACTCGTGTTTTTCAAAACAACGAAATTAAAAATACATAACACGCACTCTTTACAAAGCACTAATTCCGTTTTCAAATCATTATAACCGTGAATCTATTTTTTTATTCTTTTTTCTTAGAATAAAATTGTCTGTTATAAATATGTTTATTCTTTTAAAAAATAAACACGAAATGCATCATTATAAACTGCAAATCTATTTATTCATTTCGAATTCTATGCGAAAATCTTGACAGGAACAAAATATTGCCATTATATATTTTAAAAACGTGTCAGTTCGAGTAGTTGTTATTATAATAATTTTTAGAATATGAAAGCAAGTTAATAATGTGATCCCATATTTTTAAATGTGAAGATTTTGTTTATAATTAAACGCAGTATAATGTCTATAGAAAATTATATTATTGGTAAAGTCTAATTTTATTTTTAAAAAAATTAAAATCCATTTAAGTAGACGAGAAAAAAATCCGAAATTGCAAATAATTTTTTTTTATTTATTTTATTTTAATTTATAGCATTGCTAAAATAATTTCAGTGATTGAAAATATATTCAGAAACTAAAATAAATATATATGCAAACATTTTCGCAATATAAAGTACTTTTAGGCAATTTAATTTGAATAACTAAAAAATTATATATATATGAGCATAAAAGTAAATATTTAAGTGGAATTTAAAAGGTTTTAATAATGAGAGTATTTGGGAAAAAATAAATTAATGTAAAGGATAATTGTGTTTGTCAAAAGCATTTCAACATTATGCAATAGTTAAGTTCAATTTCATTTCTTTTCATTGTATTCCAGCGGTTTTCTTTTCATTTCTTTTTTATATGAAATAATTTAAACGTTATGAATATTGCTACTAAGTTGCGTGTATTAGAAGCTGTACAGCCTTAATAATTCTTTTCATGAGCAAATCCTAAACTATTAACATTAAATAAATTTTCAAATTATAAGGTTCTTAGAGCTATACTGATGTAAAAAAAAAATTGATTTTGGATCTCGCATTGAAAATTTTACAATTTTTGTTTAATTAAAATTCATGTTAAATAATTTGAAACACTATATTTATATGAATTGCAGTGTGTGTTTTTTTTCTATTTAATATTGCATGCTCTTTAATTTTCTGGACAAATTATAAGTTATAATGCTATCACAAGTAGTATATACTATGACAAGTAGCTATAATTATATGACAGATTATAATGCTAACAAAATTAAGGAAAATATTACCAGTTTCATGCATTGTTCATTGCGATCATTTCACTTTTCAATTTTAAAAGAGCTATATTTACGATTTCTTTTCGTTTTTGTCAAAAGAATTGCAGCTTTATGAATTGTTTGCTGGCATCTTATTCTTTCTTCGTCTGATGAATAGGTGCTTTTTGAACTGTTTGTTGCGATTATTTTTTAAAATATTTTCTTTAAATTCATAATTTATGTAATAGTAACAATATACAATAACAATAATTTTAAAATAATATGGCATTAAAATTTCAGCAGATTTATCTCTCCGAATAATAAGCGAATAAATTATTTGCGTGAAAAAACTAGAATATTATAGATTGCAAAGTTTTTTTTTCCTCTTAAATACTATTTTTTCCAGTACTATTAAATACTATTAATTATTTATGCTATTAATTAGTTATACTATTATTATTAATTATATATAAATTTATGTACTATTTTTAAGAATTCAGTGAATGCATAATGAATTAATAATATAAATAAAATTAATGAATTAAATGTCTTACCCGATGAAATAAAACTCAAGTATCATATCTACAATGTTTCTTTTTTCATCTTAAAAATAAATTAATTGCATGAATAAGAAATCGCTATTTATTTGTACTATATCTATAAATACAAGTTTTGCTATGCAAGTTTTACTATATAAAAACAAGTTTTTGTTAAATGTATTTGTAGCTTAATGAAAAATTATTACGATCATCCTTTTTAATAGAAGAAATGTGGGGTTTTTCAACTGTTTGTTACGATAGATTTTTTCCTCAGGAGAATTAGAGCTATATGAACCGTTTATTCTGCTTACATTCTACAATATTGACATTAAATTCATAATTGTATTATACGATTCTTGGAGCTGCACTAGTTTAAAAATTCTTTAAACTGCAAGAAATGAATTAACAAATATTGCATATTTATCAGTAAAAATGCAATTCAACTAAATATTTTTTAAATATTCCAAATTGCAATGTTTTTATCACTTAAAAATGTTATTTTCTCCGAATTCAGTGACTGCTTTATAAATTACTAACACAAATTCAATCAATTAATTAAAAATCTTACCTCATGAAATAAGACTCAAGTATCATCTCTGCAACTTTACTCTTTTCATCTTATAATTAATTATGCATAAAATTAAGAATTCGTTGTGAGTGCGAAGTATATTTATCTATTTTTATTTGTTCGTTTTTCAGCAATTTTTCGTTAAAAACAAGTGCAAAACTAACCAAATTTATATCAGTCATTTTATCTCTACTAAGGCATCACTTAGAATTTAGAACGTTCTACTGCCATTGCAATCTTGCAAGTGAATCGGGGTTTCCCTGGCAGACGATCCACATAGAAGTTGGGGGTGTGCGAGGGGTCTCCGAACAACGTGACGCAATCTGTATTGAACTAAGCCATTGGCCAGACCCTGAAAAATCGTTTGAAATGAACAAATGTGAGTGTAGACAGGGCATGCGTGGAATTGACAGAATAAGAAAAAGTAGATGCGAGGCAAGTTCAACATTTTCAAAAGTGGGAAAAGTTTTCAGAGTTGCAGTTCCTAAAATTTACATTTTTTATCAGTTACAAGTGAGAACTGAGGCACCAGGAATTTGTTTTAGTTAAAATACTTTTTTTCGTACAATTTATAATATAATAATAAGAAAAATTACCCAAAAAACTTTTGTTAAAAAATAAGATTTTTAAGTAGATTAATAGGAGAAAAAAATGACCAGATACATTGAAACTCAGATATCTTGGTCAGATTTTTGTCTTAACTAAAAGTAAAGTATACGACATTTGAAAGAACTGGGAAGAATTTTCGGTAGTTTTGAAAGTTCATTAAGAAGTATACGTTTCAAAAGTTTATTGTTCTCTTAGTATACTTGAGAAAGATAGTTTTCATTATTTAAGTTATTTTATTAATTTCTTAAATATTTTTAGTTACTTTTTAAGTACATAAGGAAGTCGAAATATTGATTGTGTAATATTTTTCATGAACTATTTAGGAATGCAATTGGTATTATAATCAGGAACAGAATTTCAGTTTAAATTATAGCATTCCGGCTAGTCGGAAAGTGGTGAAAATTTCAAATAATTATTTGGTAATTAAAATTGTGACATTAATCCTGCTAATAGCAAATTAATACCACCTTTTTTAAAACATGAATTCTCATCTGTCACACAGTTCCAGTTATGTTTTATGCGTTTTAGTAATTCGGATTATGCTTAATTTATTGACGATAATTTCAGTCTTGTAATAACATGTAAATAAATTTCCCTTGTAACGATGAGGAAATAATTAAAACCTATATTTTCATCAGACGCTATGTCTTATTCGGGCTGAATTGCACAAACTTGTCTTGATTGAAAGATTTCATCCAAAACTGTTTTAATGAAAAAATTATAAAATGAAATCATGTTAATGAAAAATCGTAAAATAATTTAATATAAGATAATAATTATTTGATTTTTTTAAAAAAAATAAATTTCATAAATTCAGTTATAAACTTTAATGAAAAATAGCTAAAATTGAGAGCATTTTTAATCCTGCCTAAAATGTAATAAATGCAAAACATTGATGAGCTAATTTTTTATCTGATTGACTTGCTTTTCTCCCGTTTTACACGAAGATTTCATTTGCATAATTTTATAAATTTGTTTGATAATAGCTTTTTATATTAGTATCTTATTATTTTTTTTAATAATATAATTTTAAGAAAAATCTTAGCAACAAATGTTCATTTTTATGTTTGTGTTCCAATAAATGCAATTATATTAACAATTTTTGCAAATATTGTTGAAATAATTTATTTTACGCTATCAAGTTGATATTTTGATTAAAAAAAAGAACTATTCCTATGTCAAATTTATGCGCTGGTAAAACATGATAATAATTAATTGTTTTTCAATATCTAAATGCAATCCATACAGCATGAAACCATGATGTTAATTTGGCTGTAGTTGGGGGGATGCAGCAAAATGCTTCGAAATGACATGACAAATATGCTACTTTGCAACTTTTTTCGGTGCAAAAATTTATTATTCATATCAAAAACATTACAATGTGATTTCTATTTAACTGAAGAGTATGGTTATTCTTGGTTTTCTAAAAAGAAAAGATTGTTCCTTTATTAAGTAAAAAGGAAGAACCTTTGTACTCAACATGTAAATCCCATTTTGGAAAAAAAACAACATTATTTAAGAATTACTTTTATCTATGATTATTCAAGAATCACTTTTTTACGTAATAAAAAATGACGAAAAACACTGATGAAAGAGTGAAATATTATTTATTAAAAGCTAAGAAGAAATAAAGTATTATTTAGTGTTATTTCAACACAAAACTAAACCATAACACTCTAAATCATGACACATGTCTTATGGATAAAATTACGCATGTTTTGTATGTTTTTGACTGAAATTAGTTTTTATTTAGTGGGCAGTATTTTCCCAAAAGTAATATTTATCCTAGCAAATTTACGCGCTTTATAACAACACACAAAAACAATTTACAGGCAAAGAAAAACAGCTCTCATTGACTGAGAGACAATCGCCAACTTTAGACTATTTTGGTGGTCCTGGCTATGCTTTTGGCGTTGAAAGTTTTATCTACCTTGACGAAAATTCGAGGCTCTAGATGCATTATAAAATGAGATTGCGGAGAATTCATTAGAAACTTGGCGACTTTTCGCCTACCTACACACGGTACAGGATGAATCATTTTGGTTTTAATTAATAAATCTTGCAACTTTTATTTAGATAAAATCATGTAGTTTCATCTAAAGTTCATCAAGTAGTCTCATCAAAAACAAAATTAAAGGTATTTCGTATAAATTATATATTTAAATCCCCCCAGTGTTCTGTGGAAGAATTCAAGATAAAATGAATATATATATATCGCTTAGTGCATGCAATGAGTTGAGTATAAATTTAACATATACTGTTAAAACTTTCATTCCAAAATTACCGTAAAATAACTGGCAGCAGTCCGTCCATCCAATTAACAGCAAAGCTTACAATGAAGAACATTTTTACCTCTACGATTTTGAAACCGTTTACAACGGTATGGTTATAAAACAATAAATATAAAACTATTAAGGTGTTTTAATAATTTACAACTAGCATGGTTTCAAAACCGTATAAAAGACATTTAACTTGACATTGGAGCAATATTTTTTGTTAGTTAATGGGCATTAGAGTTAAGTTGTTGTCGGGTTGTGTTTAATATACGAGTTGTGTTGTGTACAGATTGTTAGAGATGGGAACTTTTTTGTGTTAAACAGATTTATAGTGCTGCCATCTATGTGTGAATGAGAGAATCGAATTCCATTTTCCTAGGGTCACAAACTGGGGAGTGCAAGACACGGGCTACTCTTCATATGTTGAAGGGAATGGAGGAAATATTGTGTTGTCAACGCCGGGATTCGAACCCCTTTTCTCTCGGTCATGAGGTTGACCGATTAGCCTTTTCGTATAGTATGGTATGTACCCAACTGCTAGGAATCAAGTGGAGTCATTAGGTGACCTTAGTTGGTGCTATAAAATTCTTGTTGTTTAACTCCATTAAGTGAAAGTAGTTACTAAACGCTTTTTCTCACATTCGCATTTATGGTTATTCAACTATTTTGCCTAAATATGGTAACGTAACAATCAAATAAATTGTTATTTAACCATTTTTCAGTGAAATTTCTGACAGGGTAGAAAAATTAAATATCTTTCTATATATTGATCTATATAGTTCTAAATAAAAATTCTATATTCCGCCACTATTTACAGCTTAGATCTCAGGAGGTTAAACGCTTTGATTTTATTTTTCGCACATTGAATATAAACAATTCCTGAAGGAATTAGTACTTTATAACTATCTCGGTATCTGCGTTAAATAAAACAAAAGGTCTTACATATAAATTAAAACTTTACATCACCCCAGTGCATTGTGTGAGAATCCAAGGCATAGTGTATGTATTCTCTCACAAAATGAAAGAATCTTTTCTTCAGCAACCGGGGGGATATGAGAGCAAACATGATTTCACGCATCACTTAATGTTACGCGAGAAGTTTAATCAAATTTCTGAGCGAGTTGGGAAATTTACACCCGACTTCTAAATGAGATTGCTGGTGATTTCCAAGCTTTTAAAGTTACTCAGAAAATAAAAAAAGTACTATTATTTAGGTTTTCTTGTGCGTAACAGACACTTTTTTTGTGTTCTCAAAGTAAGAAATTTCGGTTTTATTACGGCTTAAATTTTTTTATGCTCTTTTAGTGAGTCCGTATTCTTTCATTTATGAAGGAATTGATCCTATCTTGTTTGAAATAGTTTTATGAATATATTTAATTTCTTACTTTATCTTACAATAACTTTTGCCTTAATTAAAAATATAAGGCTATTTCTAGTATTTTCTGTTCATTTAAATCTAATTTTAAGTAAACTCAGTGAACACAAGCATTAAAGTTTATGCATTCGCTGCTAAATAATTGAAGTATAATTATGAAATTAAAAAATAAAGTATAATTATTTGCTATTCTATTAAGTAAAGGAATTGTCAATACGTCACGTACTATTTACAAGTTTAAGATAAACGGATAAAATACAATTATAAATACTTAATATAGCAGTTTCATGTTTCATTCAAATAAACTTGAATGCATATAGTTAGATCTCATTATCATAAACATAAATAAATCAAAACAGGAATAATAATGGATGCTAAGGAAATTTTAGAATTGCTCAGTTTATTAGAAAAACAAACAATTATTTTGGATAATTAAATTACAAATCTAAATGTTTTGATTATGTGGTGTGTTTGCCACTCGTCGTTTGCCACTCGTTTGGTATTTGCCACTCGTAAGACGCAGTTCATCGTTGAACAATAATATTAACACCTCAAAGCATGTGATCAAGAAAATTTGGTTCAATTTTAATAAGATTTTAATTTAAACCATCCTTTACAACCATACCGGAAGAACCATCATTTGAACCATCCCGGTGGCTGAGTGTTAGCGCTTCGCGCTGTCGTGCAACAGGTCCTTGGTTCGATCCTCGGGCCGGAAAAGGTTGACTCAGCCTTTCATCCTTTCAGTAGGTAGATAAATTGAGTACCTAACATGTTTGGGAACTAAACGCTGGGGGTTCCGCGTAGTGCTGACCACACAACTACATTGCTCTTGCACTCTAGAGTCCAAAGATTAAACTGAGATGGGCACAGTAGGCCTCGGCCCTCTATGGGTTGTCGAGCCACTGAGTTTTTTTTTATCCCTTACGAAATTTAAGGTATTTTTGAGGTTTATTTGAAGTATTAATGTTAGTTTGAGGTTTATTTG